AAAAAAATATCTTCGTATTCAATTCAATTCCAATTTTGTTTTATGGTAGGGAATTAGCTGTTTAATATTATAAAAATTTAAATTTTTAATTTTAAGTTTAAATTAAAGTTTTTAAATTAAAAAAATCAACTCGATTAAAATTTTGTTTGTTTTCCTATGATTGTTCATTAGAGTTTTCTTTTGATTTCCAGTTTCAAGGTAAATTCTTCTACTCGTTTTTTTTTTTTTGGCTTTATTTGTTTATTTGAAGAAACTCACCATCTAGAATTTCATAATATAATTAAAAAAAAGAAAGTTAGCAGGCACCTGCACCTTCAATTTGTGTATATAACATGTACAGTTGTGAATCCCTAATCTTTCCTTTTTTTTCTTAGGGAATGCAACTTTACCTCCCTCTCTCATGTTCTATCTTTTGTTGTAAATAAAAGTAGGATTGTGCTGATAGCATCAGAAACAAAAAAGCAACGATTAAAGAATAGAAAGAGAATCAGAAGGAAGAAAGAAGAAGAAAGAGATATGGAAGGAGAAACAGAGAATCACAGTAAGAGAATTATGTATATTCATCAACTGAAAATATAAAAAGATAGAGTACTTTTTTGTACAAGAATTATGTCCAACACTATTAGCCCAGAGTACAATGTTCTAAAGCAATAACAATCATTAACAAAAACTGAACTGTATTAAATTGTACAATAAAAAACCCATAAATGCAAAAGTAATAATAAGAGAGAAAGTTAGGAGGGAATAATTCAACCTCCATGTCACCCAATTAGAGGGCAAAAACTTACTTTTAACCCCTCACCTTACTAAATTTAAAGATTTTACCTCATCACCTTATTTTATGACACTTTTAACCCCTCACTTTATTAAATTTGTAGATTTTAACCCCTTACCTATTAAAATAAAAAAAAAAAACCCTCACTTTATATTGACTATTAACTCTATTAGCTAAAAGTAAGTTTTTGCCAACTAACAGTCAATTAATAATTAATTAACAAAATTAACAAAATATTATAAAGTTAAATCTATTAACTCTATTAGTTAAAAAAAAGTTTTTATCAACTAACAGTCAACTAATAATCAACTAATAAAGTTAACAATCAACTAATAAAAATAACAAAATGTTACAAAATGAGGATTATTTTCTTCAATTTTAATAGGTGAGGGACTAAAAATATCATAATATAAGGTGAGAGACTAAAACTTATAAATCTAGTAAGGTGAGGGCCTAAAAGTGTTATAATATAAAAAAAGGGATTAAAACCTTTAAATTTAATAAAATGAAGGGCTAAAAATGCGCTTTTGCCCCAACTAGAAAACAAGCGGAAAAAAGACAGCGGAGGAACAGAGAGAAAGAAAAACAGAGAAAAGGTTTAGAACTTAGAAATTAGAATTTTCCAAAATAAACCCTCTTTCGCCTGCAAAAACCTTGAGCTTGTCTAGCTAAGGTGTTAACTCTTATGTAGTGACAAGGAAGAGTTGAACTTAAACTATTGTCATGATAATTTTTTTTTAATGGAGTTGATGGTACATACAATTTTATCTCATAATTAAGTATTATAATAATTATTTGATTAAATAAATAAATGTATATTAATTTATGTATTTTGTTAAATAAAAAATTAACTGATTTAAGTTAAAAGAACCAATTATAATTACTATCATGCAAGATTTTAAAACTTTAATTTTTTTAATTTTAAATTGTATAAGATGGGACAATTCTCTCTAATCCTATTATATACCTACCACAACCGCATGTATATAACAAAAACCCAAGACTTATACTTTTAAAAGAAATTATTAATGAACTATACTTAACTTTTTTTTGGGTATATTGAGACTAAGGCGGTATTATAATGACAATTTTTTATATTATTTTTTGATATAATTTTTACATGTCATTAAATAAGTTGATGCATTTAATATCACAAGACTCACATAAATAAAAGAAACTAATCATATAAATGACACACTAAATTATATAAAAAAATAAAATAAAAAAATTATCCCAAAATTATTTCTTATTGAGGCTATTATAGGGTTGAATTGTTGCTGAATTATTTCCAATTTTATAATGAATTATTGGGCCAACTGTAAAGTTAAAATAAGGAAGAAACATCCACTTTAGTTCACTTTCCATTCTTTCAGTAATAGTAAGTGATTTAATCTCAAATAATTCGAGCTGCTGAAAACAACAAAAGAACCCTGAAATCAGGGTAGAGCTATGGCCACAGAACAAAAAAAAAAGAAAAAAAAAGAAGGTGTCAGTGACATAATTTTTTAAATAGTCTTTAAAATAATGATTTTTTAATTATTTATTAAAAATAATTGATAAACATAATTGTTAGTTGATAAATAATAAAAGAATTAATATATAATATTTAATAAATTAAAATTAATTTTATATACTTATTTA